CTCTTAAAAGGGCAATGCCAGCTCCATCCCAGCTTTTTTTTTTTTTTCTCAACAACTTTTCCCCTGGTGTACTGGCACTTTTTTTTTTTAAACAAAAAAAGCACTGAATTCAGCTAGTTCTTCATGCTCCCCAAAGCCCTAGCAGCGTCCAGACAGCTGGCGTTCTGACACAGAGCAGTTGGTTGAGAATAAGCCTTAGACTCCCCTGTTCACCGTGACCTGCCAACACAGGTGAAGACAACAAGCTGCCTTGTCTTGGCTGGGGATTTGCGTGTTATGTGGTGAGGAAGCACCTTTTTTCCTAGTGTGGACATGTGCTAGTACCAAAGGCTTGAACATAAGAACGGCCATATTGGGTCAGACCAAAGGTCCATCGAGCCCAGCGTCCCGTCTGCCGACAGGAGTCAATACCAGGTGTCCCAGAGGGAATGAACAGAACAGGGAATCATCAAATCCCTCATCAGATCCCTCCCTTGTCACCCATTCCCAGCCCTGACAAACAGAGGCTATGGACACCATTCCTGCCCATCCTGGCTAATAGCCATTGATGGACCGATCTTCCATGAATCTATCTAGCTCTTTTAAAGTCCTGGTCTTCATAAATTCTTCTGGCGAGGAGTTCCACAGGTTGACTGTGCATTGTGTGAAAAAAAACTTCCTTTTGTTTGTTTTAAACTTGCTGTTCATTTCATCTGGTGACCCCTAATCCTTATGGGAACAAGTAAATAACTTTTCCTTATTCACTTTCTCCACACCAGTCATAATTTTATCCCCCCTTAGTCTCTTTTTCTAAGATGAAAAGTCCCAGTCTTTTTAATCTCTCTCTACATGGCAGCTGTTCCAATCCCCTAATCATATTTGTTGTCCTTTTCTGAACTTTTCCCAGAAACCTGTTCTCCATTACATTGGGAGGGGCTCTGGTATTGTTCTAACATAGCTGCGCTGCTAAAAGCCTCCACATGGACACAGTAATTCAGTTAGAAAGCATTTAGGGCAGCATGGCTTATATCATATCACCAAACCAAGCGTGGCAGAGGCACTTTTAGATCTGCCTACACAAGGCAGGGCCGCTGCTTTATTTATACCAGCACAGCTGATGCTGCAAAACTTTAAGTGTAGACAAGGCCTTTAGTGCATGTAATAACGGTGTAGTAGTAATAAACCCCAGTCCTTTTCAACGGTAGCTGTCAAATCAGATCAGGATCATTATCCCGTCTCCAGAGGGGACGCAACTTGCCTAAGATCTTCCAGCCAAGCCAGAACTGGGTCAAGAACTCAGATGTCCTGATCCAGGGATGGTCCCCTCTTTGGGCCATTGTCTGACCTTTCCTGCTTGGCTCCCCTATCAGCCACGCTTGATCAAAGGCCATAGCAAGTACACGTCCCATCCTGCACACCGTATTCAGAGCAAGTAATACATCCAGTGCTTTTTTTGTGATGGTACTGCCTGGGACTCAGTCCCGGCACCTCCAGCCAGAGCTTACCTGGAAAGAACGGAGCCTATCGGCACCTCTGTATGCAAATGTTGGACAGTCGGCTGGGCCGCGTGTCTTAAAGAGTCCGTGTCTCTTAAAAGGGCAATGCCAGCTCCATCCCAGCTTTTTTTTTTTTTTTCAACAAACTTTTCCCCTGGGGGGCTGCACTTTTTTTTTTTAAACAAAAAAAGCACTGAATTCAGCTAGTTCTTCATGCTCCCCAAAGCCCTAGCAGCGTCCAGACAGCTGGCGTTCTGACACAGAGCAGTTGGTTGAGAATAAGCCTTAGACTCCCCTGTTCACCGTGACCTGCCAACACAGGTGAAGACAACAAGCTGCCTTGTCTTGGCTGGGGATTTGCGTGTTATGTGGTGAGGAAGCACCTTTTTTCCTAGTGTGGACATGTGCTAGTACCAAAGGCTTGAACATAAGAACGGCCATATTGGGTCAGACCAAAGGTCCATCGAGCCCAGCGTCCCGTCTGCCGACAGGAGTCAATACCAGGTGTCCCAGAGGGACTGAACAGAACAGGGAATCATCAAATCCCTCATCAGATCCCTCCCTTGTCACCCATTCCCAGCCCTGACAAACAGAGGCTATGGACACCATTCCTGCCCATCCTGGCTAATAGCCATTGATGGACCGATCTTCCATGAATCTATCTAGCTCTTTTAAAGTCCTGGTCTTCATAAATTCTTCTGGCGAGGAGTTCCACAGGTTGACTGTGCATTGTGTGAAAAAAAACTTCCTTTTGTTTGTTTTAAACTTGCTGTTCATTTCATCTGGTGACCCCTAATCCTTATGGGAACAAGTAAATAACTTTTCCTTATTCACTTTCTCCACACCAGTCATAATTTTATCCCCCCTTAGTCTCTTTTTCTAAGATGAAAAGTCCCAGTCTTTTTAATCTCTCTCTACATGGCAGCTGTTCCAATCCCCTAATCATATTTGTTGTCCTTTTCTGAACTTTTCCCAGAAACCTGTTCTCCATTACATTGGGAGGGGCTCTGGTATTGTTCTAACATAGCTGCGCTGCTAAAAGCCTCCACATGGACACAGTAATTCAGTTAGAAAGCATTTAGGGCAGCATGGCTTATATCATATCACCAAACCAAGCGTGGCAGAGGCACTTTTAGATCTGCCTACACAAGGCAGGGCCGCTGCTTTATTTATACCAGCACAGCTGATGCTGCAAAACTTTAAGTGTAGACAAGGCCTTTAGTGCATGTAATAACGGTGTAGTAGTAATAAACCCCAGTCCTTTTCAACGGTAGCTGTCAAATCAGATCAGGATCATTATCCCGTCTCCAGAGGGGACGCAACTTGCCTAAGATCTTCCAGCCAAGCCAGAACTGGGTCAAGAACTCAGATGTCCTGAGCCACAGCTAGGTGCTCTGTCCACTAGGCAGCACTGCTGTTCTAGCAGCACAGTGTGCAGGGAAACAACTGGACATGGCTCGTCTTCACTACACCAGCTTTTTACCTGGATTTAAACGAGGCCCAACCCTTCCCAGTGTTTGATCAAGGCTACAGGTGTTTGTTCTGTCTCCCAAGGAGCAGCCTCTGATAAAGAAGAAAAGAACAAAGGTGGAGTGCATTCATTCCAAGTGCCTCTCCTTACTGGCAGCCAGGGAGCGCCAGCATCCGTGTGTGTCAATAAGACTAGTTCTCTGGCCTGTGCAACGCAGACTACACTGCCATGATCCTTTCCGGACCTTCAACTGTATTGCTGCAAAGGGAGACTGCACACTGGAACAGCTAACAGGGTGGACCAGAGCTAGCCTAGCTCAGTGTTTCTCAGGCAGTGGTACGAGTACCCTCCTGGGTACTCAAGAGGAGTCTGGGGGGTACCTCAACACACCTGAAATATGGAGAAAACCGAATCTTTGTTATAAGTTTTACTGCACTTTATTATTTGTGTAGTTTTTACTCCCAAAAATGTCATTGCCCACCCGGCTACAATTAAGTTGTTTAAACGAATGTGTTGCAATGGTAGAAAAAAATGGTGAGTCTGAAAATTCTAGGTACTGGGGGTACTTTTTTTAATTGAAAAGGGGATATATATACAAAACGGTTGAGAAACACTGGTGTGGGTGCATGGGACAGTGAACCACTCTTGGGGTGCGGGTTATATGAGATATTAATCCTGTATCTGCTGCTTGGGGATCTGATGCCTCCCTCAGAAGATCTTGTGCTGGTCCCTGTCAGAAACAGGACACTGGGCTAGATGGAGCTCAGGTCTGTCCCTGTTTGGCATCCCTGGGGCAGCGGTGGGCAACCAGCGGCCTGCAGGGGGGCTAGCAGAGTTCTGTATGTGGCCCAGACGACCGTTTTCCAACATGCAGGGTTGCCAGATTCCACTGGTTTCCAGCTGCACAGCTCTATTCCTGCCAGTACAGGCTGAAACTCTCAACCAGGAGTCTCTGGTCTAGCAACATCCATAGTCCGGCATGGACGCTCCAGGACCAAAATCCCAATGTAGGACCAGCAGTAAGGATCCCTGCGGGGCCAGCAGGGCAGCGGGTTGTCTGCAGGGAGCTGACGGCAGGGCCACCCAGCGTGTAGTAGCAGGGCTGCCCAGCGGGGCTGGGAACCCTGGCTCGCAGTGTGCACGGGACTGATAACAGAGCCCCAGCTCAGCGCGTGCAGCTGCTCACGGTGCCCTAGTGCACGAGGCTGTCCAGAGCCCCAGCGCATGGTGCACGTGGCTGCCTGGAGCCCAAGCGCTGGGTTGTCCAGTGGAGCCACAGCAGCGATGGGCTGCCCACTGTGTTGGCAGAGCAGCAGGTGAGGAGCCGGTGGCAGGGGTCCAAAAATGACCTCCCATGCTCCAGCAAAATCCCTCATCCGGGATCAGTCAGATCTTGAGGGTGACAGACCAGGAAGGGCCAACCTGTATTACTAAAGTGACACAGGTGAAGTGAGGTGCAGGTGACTGCACACCACATGGACTGGGAGAGCCGGGTGCTCCCTCTGCAGCCAATCACAGCGCTGCCATGGTTCCATCGGCACATCCTGCAAATTCCAGGGATGCAAGCGCTGGGAGCAAAACTACCCTTATCCTGGAGACCATCTTGGTTGCAACAATCTTGTGGCTCCCTGAAATGGAGGAGGGCCACCCACATGGCCTAGGTTGCCCCTCACTGCCCTAGAGTTGTGACATTACCTAGAGAGGAAGTCACGGAGCGTTTTACACGAGGGAGGGAAATGCTGGCAGTGCATATATGCCCAGCAGCTAGCTCTTGTCTTACAGTTTAAGCCCATTCGAGCAGGGACCATCATCAAGTTGTGTGTCTGTGAAGCACCTAGCACCATGGGAGCTGATCCCTGCTGAGGCCTAGATGCTTCTGAAATAAAGAACAGAACAGCAGAGAGCAGGACCCCCTCAATTATTATTGAGAACCAACCTCCCCCCAGGGCAGCTTACTGCAGCACAGCGCAATCCCAAAACCATGCTATCCAGAGCATTCGCCCTGCCACAGTTGCATGCGAGAGGGAAAAAAAACTCAAGGACCACCGTGGAGCTGCTCTGAAATAAACCTCTTTATTCCTCGTTGGTCACGCCCCTTTTAGATTGCAGAAACAATCCCCTTTGGACTGCGTTGCTCTGACCAGCGACAAAGAAGATAACAAACCAAACCGAACACCCCACCCAGCACTCGGATATTTGAGAGCACAAATTTAAACCCTCTGCAGTGGGTGAAGAACAAAAAGTCCATTCATGCCGCAGCCCCGGATCGAGGCTCTCGCAGAAAGACTTGCTCGGCTGGGAGAGATTTCCTTAGCAGCACTCTCGGAACCGGCTGAGCACGGAACAAGTATTCCAGTTCCCTAACCTGATCTGATTTGCTGCATTGCTGCCCTGGGGTTATTTTTGTTCTTCAAGCAGCTCTGAAGGTGGGACTAGCCTGGTCACTTTCAGGCTCTGATGCGCCTGAGGAGCACTCTGGACTAGGTTGTCTCTCTAGGAATGTAAAATCCCATTTAATCAGTTAACTGGTTAAATGTTACATTGAACCAGTTAATCGCTTACCCAGGAACCCATGGGCCAGGGGACACGCCAGCCCTGCCTAGGGATATTAATGGTTAACCAGTAAATGGGTGAGGCTTACTGGTTACATCAGGGCTAGAGCAACTCCCCGCACATCCTGGGAAGGAGGCTACTCTAGCCCCACGGGGCTTGCCACAGGCCCAGGGTGCTTCAATCTGGCCAGAGCAGCCCCCATTTGCAGCAGGTGGGGGTGGGGGGGTTCCAGCTGGGCTGGAGTGACCCTCCCATTGAATTGGCTAACCAGTCAAACTTAACCTTTAACCGATTAACCAATTAAACGGGATTTTACATCCCTGCCCCTGCCCCAGCAACAGCACAGGCGGGGAGCTGCTCCAGCCCAGGCAGGTCTGCTGGTTAACTGGTTCCATCCCTAATGGGGAGAATTTTGAGAAGTGTCCTCCCCCCATCAGCGGCACGGACACAGCTTGGGGGCAGGCAGTTTTAAACCATGCTGGTGTTCAGACGGAGCGTGGACAGGCACAGCCCCCATACATACGTACGTCCTTGCTGCCAGCGGTGGGCAGGTCTCCCACTGGTGGGTCTCACTGTGATCCCACAGACCATGTTAGCTGCTGGCAACAAATGCTCATTTGTAGAGTCATTTTGGTAACTTAAAATGCACCTGCTCCCATCCAATAGTCTTTGAACTGCTGGGACCAGGGAACAGAAATTGCTCCGGCTCAGTCCCGGGATGAGCACCTACAGCGAATCAGCTCCGTCTAACTGCAGATGTGGAGCAGCTGCAGGGTTGCAGAGGAAGGCTGCCAGGACAATACTGCTGACGTTCAATTTCGCACAAGTGAAACACATTTAAAAGAAACATTTTCCACTGAGAATGTAAGACCGACCCATATTTCAAGTCGTCCCAGTCCTAGCAATGTGTGTAAACCCCTGGGTTCCACAAATACAAATATTCTGTGCTGGACACAGGCAAAAATCTCTGCAGCTTGTTAGTGAGCAAATTAAAGTCCCATTCAAGATTAGCTTTAAGGGGAGCTATAGGCAAACTCCTTAGGAGGCTTCTGCAAAACATCCTGCGCTCTCATGGAAGTAGCAAGATTGCAGTGAGTTAACTACAAAAATAAATAACATTGTATATATTACTTCTGTTACCTCTATTAACATTTTCTTTGCTTTCTCTCTCAGATCCATCTAAAGATCTACAATACTTAGTGCTTGACCAAGATATGAGAAGAACAGCGAGGATTAATTCAAGACAGACAAGTTTCATGAACCCTTATTTCACAGGTAAGGAAGCTGAGGCAGTGGCAGAGTTTGGAAGAGAAACCAGGAGACTGAAAGGATAACTTATTCCCAAGAGGAAAACGACTGTACGCTGGCAACTGTTAATTATGCAGCAAATTCAATGTCCAGAGATCTGCTATCGAAGCTTAGTGCAGGATCCAGAGAACAAAGTTGTTGAGGGGGAGAGAGGCTCAGTCTGACTAAGATCTGTTGTTAGAGATTTTGGTTTGTGCGCTCATACCAAGCGTATAGAAGCCAGTTCCCCATTAAGCTAGTTTTCATAATGCTCCAGGGAAAGCTTATTGGTATGGAAAGTTTTCTACTGGTAGCCAGAAAGTGAGCGGTGGGGTGCCATGAAAAAGTTTCATTTTCATCTACATTTTCCAAGGAGAACTTGGGAGTTTTAAAAATCAAACCCTAAAATAGTGTAATTCTGAAATGCTGCGGGTGGTGCCTTGTGCTTCCAAGTCCCCTTGTAAGGCAGGTCACACTTCAGGGCAGTCCCATGACTGCAGGGCATTAGAGACACAATCTGGCTGGGGACCCTGGCCCCACACAGAATAGGAGTAAAAGGCACCTGAACTGTGCAGCTGCATTTCAGAATCAAAATCATTTCCATTCCCACGTTCCGCTTTTTGACTCGAAATCAAGACAGCCTTCCGGGGAAAGTGGACACTTTTTGCAAAAATTCTGTTTGATCAAAGTCCAGATTTTCCCCTCAAGAAAAAGGACGGAATGGAAATGTTTCAACCAGCACTAAAAATGGCTTTGCAAGACTCTGCGGCGATTCTTTCACGACGGCACCTTCCAAGTCCACACATCTGTCCCATGACTCAGATCTGCTTTTTAATTCCTGTGTTGGCTCTTAGGAGAGCAGGATCTGATTTCTCTTCTGACTCGGGCATCACTAACTGATTTGTCCACTAAGTCCAACAAAAGGGACAAATTATGTTCTACTTAACCCTCTTTTAGGCACGGAAGCCAAAGTCTCCTCCCACCTCCTGCAACTTCTCCATGCTAAAGAAGAATGGGTCACAGCAACCGGATAAGATACAATATGGGTGTGGATCACTCTCTCAAGCAGAACTAGATCTGGACCATTACCCATCCCATTTAGACTGCGTATGGTGTAAAGGACAGACAGCATGCTGAATTATCAAGTAGCAAGTTCCTTCAGCAGCCAAGAGGGCTGGCAGACATATGGAAGGAGCAATAAGAGATACATGTAAGAACAGAGAATTTACATGCTTGCAGTGCAGTAAGCGGCAGACCAAGGGTTAATTGCATTTGTTCTTTGATAAAAGATGTGACGTTGCAACACCAAGTCACACGCACAGCTCACTGTCTCTGGAATCCACAGACTGCACCAACTCCCAGCAGCAGTTCTCTGCACAACAGGCAACAAATCGGTCCTTCTTGTTCGGAGGTGAATCAGATACTGACCGGCCAGCTGAAGGTGGGACGACACGACAGCTGCAGTGGAGCTCAACGGGCAGAGGTAGCTTCCAGAGAGGCCCTTCAAAGTCGATGAATGCAGAAAAATCTGCACCACATCACTGATTCAGGAGACCCCCCTCAGGGCAGAGCTCTCTCTTCAGTGCAGGAGAGATCAAAGCAGGGAATTAGGGAGCAGAGGCCAAGGTGGGCTCGGCTGCAGCCTGATTGTCCGACAAGCCAAGACGACTCACTGGGAGCTCACCTGCTGCTGCAGGGACTTCGTGGAATTCAGCTGGATAAACAGGGCTAAGACAGGATGGAAGAAAGAATGGACATGTCAGCTCAGAACACAGCCATGGCAACCCGAGAGCCACATGCATGCCGGGCCCTGGAACTTCCCAGGGAGAGGCAGCGCCTGCCCTTTGCTCTGCAATCACTGGCACAGGGCTGCTCTCAAGTCACCAACTCTCCTGCAGAAATCTGACTCGCTCTGCTTTGCCAAGCCACCAAGGCCTAATGATCCTGCTCTTTTGACAGCTCTCCTGAGCAGCACAGGTAGGGGGCCCGGCAGCTTCTCCCCAAGCTGAGAAAGGCCAGAGGTTTGGAGCTGCAATCCGTCTCTGCAAAGCAAGCAGCAAGGACCAGGGCTGGGTATTTCCTTACGGATTCAGCCAGCATGGACCTTACGCAGGGAAGAGACCAGATCAAGGCCTCAGTCTCTCAGCTCCACCCACCAGCAAGGAGTTTTGCACCAGAGAAGTTGCCCTGACTTCAACAGGACAGGGCGGGCTAGCGGATCGTGCTACACACTGCCTTTTAACAGACAAGATCTTTGCTGCCCTCTATTGGCTGGTTCACAAACTTTTGAGCCTGCTGCTACTGAGCCTAGTGCGTTCAGAGTACCACACCCTGAGTTCAGACCGCACTGAAGACCCATCCAGATCATCCCAAGGAAAGACTGGGTCACCTAGAGACAGGTGGTTCTTGGAGATGGAAGAAGAGGCAAACAGGACTCTACGTCACAAGGGGAAGCTCTGGGACCTTTATATCGCCACCAGAACCTTGGATGGTGTGGCTGGAGAAGGCTGTGGTCATGTCCAGGCACCAGTGTGGGACGGCAGACACAGTACCAGACACTGTTCTGTTCCTTGCACAAAGCTACCTTGACTGGGACAGAAGGTCTGAGGCCCCCACAACCCTACCTGACCCTCCATAGACCAAGCATCCAAAGGTTCTTCGTCATCTATTAAAGCCAGATGCGTGCTCCTTACCAGTTGCCTCGGCATGAAGTGTTTGGCCATCGATGCTCCTGACGTGACAGGACAGAAACACTTTTCTTCCCTCGATCTGGTCCACTTTGCTGTCCACCAAGACCACTGAACCCAGTGGAATGGGGCTGCAAGGAGAAAACAGCTGATCCTTAAGGAGAGCCCACATTTTACAGATGGGGACTAGAGGCACAGAAAGATCCAGTGCCAGGCCCACATTGTAAAGGGAGGCTGAACCCAGATCCCAAGCCAGTGCTGTGTTCCCTATAAGCTTTGTGCATGCACGGCCACACAAGAGAGATTCACATGCTGCCCAGCTGCTTAGCAGAGGGTGAATAGCTGACAGCATGTTTTCAGGTGTCTTTCCCTCCACCTTGCTCCGTCCTGCAGCTGCTCCAGAGAGGGACCCTCCTACTAGCTGTACAGGAAAGGGGGTGGGGAGGGTAGGAGGAGAGTCCTGATGCCAGGGTGTTCCTTGCCCTGTATCCCATCTCTACAGAGCATGGAGAAGCAGAGGGAAACACAGCCTGGCTCAAGGGAACTCTTAAGTTGCTACAGTCTGAACAGTGAGTGACTGCCTGACTTTCTTAAAGAGGCAGTGCACTGTTTCTGAGCCTTCATCAGCAGTCAGCTCACACTGTCCTTCTCTCCCTTTACTACATCTCCTCAGAGTACGAGAGGGGGGACAGAGCCTCTTACTGAGGTCTGACGTCTACCCTGAAGGGTGAGAGCCTTTCTTGAAGAGGCAGTGCAGTGTTTAACCTGAGATTTCCCCAGCAGCAGCTCTCACAGTCTCTCTCTGACTCACATTCTCTCTTTCTCTCCTCCCTTCCATCTTGGCAGGGCAGGGGAAGGGGAGACAACAGGGCTCAGGAACATAGCAGGACAGCTTACATAGACAGGGCTTTCTTAGACATGTACCAGGCAGCAGCCTGCACATATACTGTCTCTGTCTCGCTCTCCCACCCACACACCCTGTCCCTGTGTCACCCACACAGTCTGTCACACATATTATGTCACTCACCCACAGTTGCTTTCACACACCTCCTAACACGTACTTGAATTATTGTTGTTGTTACTACCTACTTCCTGCAATGCACAGATATTCTCTGTAATTTTATTCTTTCAAAGTGTGTTATTTTAGTATTTTGCTGGGTCTGTACATTTTTATTTCTCTTGCACTTAAATTTACGGGTCTGTACATTTTTATTTCTCTTGTACTTAAATTTAATTATTTGAGTGAGTTCTAAAATGCCTAACCTGTCCTGACCGGAGTAATCATCCCTATGCTAACTTTAAAAAAATAAATTAAATCTAGGGTTTTTTGGTTTCTACTGATGGTGCACAACAGCAGCACAGGCCTTGGTGCATGTAACAACTTGTATTCCGCACATGGATGGGAAAAATTAGAGGGAACACTGATCCAGTGGCTTAGTTGTAATTCCACTGCTCTTTGGAAAGGGCTGCCGGGATGTGGTAGTGGTGCACAGGGCCATAAGTCTAAGAGCATCAAGTTGTCAAATTACAGCAGAGCAGGACGCAATTGAAGTCATTATTTATCCCCATGGCAACTTGTGGCCCATGGGGGTTTTTACGCATGGTCCACGAGACATTTTGTTCACTGTTGCTCACGCACAGGGTTGCCGGATTCTGCTGGTTTTTGACTGTGTCGTTTTTTCTCTACCGGCATTACTAAAGTGAGGCCCGTAAAGCAAGGGCACATGAAGGGAGGGGTGTTCTGATTGCACACAACACTGACTGTGAGAGCCGTGCACTCCCCCTGCATCCAATCAAAGCGCTGGTACGGTTTCATCGGCACCCCGCAAATGCTCGGTATGAAAAGTGCAGTTAGCAAAACCATCCTGTCCTGGGAGATCATCTTGGTTACAACAATCTTGTGGGCCATTGAGATGATGGAGGGCCACTTACTCAGTGCTCTCACTAGCCTCGGTTTCCCACCACTGCACTAGATGCTGCACAAGTACAGACCCAGGAGATGGGCCCTGCCCCAAAGAGCTTACAATCTTCTGCACGGTCATAGCCCCCCTGATTTTATAGCTAAGCCCTGAGGCTACAGAGAAGCCTTTGATCACTTACTTCCTGTAGTTTATACTGAGGTTAGCAGTCATCACCCGGCCAGCAACAAATATAGCGCAGCCCCCAACAGTGCTGTCAATGATAGTTGCAGTGGAACCACCGTGGGCAAACCTAAAGGGCAGAGGAGGAGGGCAACATAAGAGATGGTTGAACACAATCGCTTGAGGCATAAGAGCTGCTGCTCCCCACCTGAGTCAATTGCAGGTGAGTATCTCAGAACTCTCAGGTAGGACAATTCACATGACATCCTTACCCGCGATGCCCTTCCAGATAGGGCCCTGGCTGGAACAAACACACCATTCTCTTCTCAGACGGGTTAAGGAACATGGCATATTCGAAGCCCACTCCTTCGGTATCTAAGTTTCTGGGGAAGAAGCGGGTTCCCTTCCGCTCCTTCTCATTTGCTAGCTTCAACGATTCTAGTTGGGAGAAGGAAAAGTGACAACAGATGATCTAGAATTCCAGAGACAAACAGGCAGACACACCCACACGCACATGCACACAAGCCTTGCCTGGTACATGATCAGCAGTATCGCTGTAGGAAGGAATCCTTTTCCATGTCCCATCTTTACACATTTCCAGGAACCTGCTATACAAATCCATCATGTCCTGGCTCCAGCTGGAGTTGGGGAGGGCGTAATCCTTTGACCGTTTGGACTGAGAGAGCCAGGCCTGAAAAGAAATGGTTGAAATACCATGAAGATGGTGACCATTTCCTAATAACCCTGATGAGCATTCATATAGCATGTTGAGTCTTCAAAGAACTATGAAAACCAGACAGCCAATGGGAGCGGAGAGATTTTGCTGGGGGGAGGGGGAGGTATATGAGAAGCTTCCTCCTCCCCTCCTGCTGCCTGGAGTAGAGAGCCACAGGCTAGCAGCCAGCCATTTGGAGGGATTTTGCGGGACCAGGGGAGGTCATTTCTGGTCCCCCTGCCACTGCTCCCCCTCGCCCTGCTGACACCAGCTTACTAGCTGCTCTCCCGTACAGCCCAGCTAGGCCACATGCTGGGCTTCCCCACTCCTAGCCCCTCTGGCAGCCCAGCTGAGCTGCGCACCAGGCTTCTATGCACCTGCCCCCAGAACAACCCAGATGAGCCACAAGCTGGGCTTCCCGGCTCTCCTGGCAGCTTCCTGACTTGGTTAGCCCATTTGGCGTGTGGTGCTGGGTTCACAGCTCTCCTCCCGCTCTGCTGCATTGCACATGGCTGCCCCTCCCTCACTGCAGTGTGCCGGAACTCACGCATCCTGGAACATCCATGGTCTTATTGGACCATGGATGTTGCCGGATGAAAGAGTCCCGGTTTACAGAGGTGTAACTGGTACATATGTAGAGTTTGAAGGGACTTTGAGAAGTCTTCTAGTCCACTGAGGAACCACCAAGTAAACTTACAACACCATGCTTGACAAGCGTTTCATAAAAATCATAGAATCATAGGCCTGGAAGGGACCTTGAGGCAAGCGTTTCATAAAAATCATAGGCCTGGAAGGGACCTTGAGAGGTGATCTAGTCCAATCCCCTGCGTATCCAAGGCAGGACTAAGTATTAGTTTGTCTAACCTATTCTTAAAAACTCCATGATGGGGATTCCATAACCTCCCTTGGCAACTTACTCCAATGGTTAGCAAATCTTATAGTCAGCAGGGTTTTCCAATACCTAACCCAAGTCTCCCTTGCTGCAGATTAAGCCAATTACTTCTTGTCCTACTTTCAGGGGACATAGAGAACAACTGCTCATTCTCCTCTTTATAACAGTCTGTCACATATTTAAAGACGGATGTGGTCCGCACTCAGTCTTATTAGGTCCCCACCTTGACCAACTGCTAGCTAGTGAAACTAGCTCTAGACAGAACATTAGCCAAATATTCTGAACATCCTTTCCAGGGTAGGAAAGCAGTAGTTCCTCCTGCTCTGAATGCACTTACTAAATGGCATCAAGTATGCATATATAAATTTTTCTTCCAAGTAAGCAGAGTATATTTTAATGAGGTAGCAAGATATCACTTTGTGAACACAGACACATAGTTAAACATCTTTTTTTAAAACTTATCTTACAAGTTTCCAAAACCAATCTACAATCATTATTGATGCTGCGTTTATTGACCACATCTCACATCAATAAAAGTCAGTTTTGCTTTTGATTAAAATTGATTACAATTAATTTCAGTTTTAGCATCTCTGCTTCCAGGTTACAAACCCTAGCAGATCACAGTTTGGCTTTAAAAAATAACTCTTCATTTGAAGAAAAAACACCAAAGCCTGTGAAACTTTTCTATTGCTCTTAGGTCTTCAAACCTCAAGTTCTGGCCCAAATACTATAACGTGTTATTATTCATAAGACTGCTGCTTGTAATACAGGTAGTATTATTAACACATTAGGACTATCTGCTAGAAATATTTCCAAGCTAGGAATTGGATTAAGTATGCCTTCAGGTGATCTTATTAGCATAAAGTCTTCTGTGTCTGTTTTAAGGAACAGAAGTGAAGATGGTGCATAATTCATGATGACACTGAGAACATCTTTGAGATACTCAAGAAAATAGTTTAATATAGCAAATGAAATTCAGATGGCATTGATTTGTTACGTTTAAGAAAGGCAAAAGCTTTTTTTTTAATTGTTTTTGAAAATAATTTAATTAGGAAGGTCACCACGCACTAATATTACTTGGCTATATTACTAGGCTTTCACGATGGGGTGGAGAGAGAACTTTCCTACCCTCCACTAATATTACTTGGCTATTATATAAAGGCTTTCACGATGGGGTGGAGAGAGAACTTTCCTACCCTAAGAGATTTCGCTCCCTCATCTAATGAGGGGAAACTGGGAGGCAAACAGGTTGAGAAATTGAGACTGACTATTCATTTTAGATGCCTCAACATCAGTGAGTCAAAAGCTGAGACACTGTGGCTTAATTTTCATAGGTCCTGAACATCTACTACTGCAGAGACACTGGGAGATGTTCAGCACCCCTGAAAAGCAGACCCCAAATTGGGCACCCATAAATCACATCATCCCAGACGAGTGGCCACTTTTGACCAGGCTTAAATCCAAGGCCATTGACAGAGCTAGCATCAGAGCTGAGACTGAAACAAGGAGTCCGGTGACACTTTAAAGACTCACAAATGAAACTGAGAATGAGTTGAGACTGAAAACCTTTTGCCTTCCAGCTCCCTGTCCCTCAAACTGGGAACTAATACTCACCAGAGAGTTCCAGAGCGGACTGCATGGGGCACCTGGATTTAACCCTCGAACACCACCACACCATGGCACTTTTGGGTCCAGACGGAGAACTGCACTTTGACCGAGCCCCCTTGCCAGCCTAATACAATTCCTCCACATGGCTTCTTCTGCAGAGACAGCAAACACTGAATCTTGCTCTGCCAAGGCAGTCCTTCAGCGCTGTCCCGGTTGCACAGGAGGCGGATGATGCAGCTTAGTCCCACAAACGGGAATCACTTTGGCTCCGGCTTTTAGCGGCTTCAGAGGGGACCTGCCCACCGGAGGCTGATTTCACAGTCGCTGGCGAGCGGCAGCTTGGGAGGTTCCACGGAGCTGGGTGGAGGCTGAGGCGGGATGGGGATTTTGGGGCCAACCCCGGCCCTCCGACCAGGGGCTGCGCAGCAAGGGCCGGACCAGCCTCAGCCAGGCTCTAACACCAGCACCAGCTCTGTGGCTTTTGCCTACGTCACTAACCTGAATGGGGGGGGGGCTTAGGGCCCCCCCAAGGGCTCAGGCCGCAGCAGCTGCCAGAGCGGTGTGTGGGGGGAGGGTTTTGACCTTGAACCCCCAGTGACCTCCGACCCCTGGAACGACCTCCTGGCCCCCGCAGGGATGCGGGGCGCCCCGGTGACCTTTGACCTAGGGTGGCTATGGGCTGACCTCTGACACCCCCACGGACCGGGGGAGGAGGGGGTAGCTTCCCGCTGACCTTTGACCCCAGTGCAGGCGGCAGCGCCCTCTAAGGCGAGCTCCGGGTGCGGGTGGGTCCCGGCCGCGGCCCCCGCCGCCGAGCTTCCCCGGCGACCCAACGTCAGGTCAGGAGGGGCAGCCGGCTTCGACGTTACAACGGAGTGACGTCACGCGCCGGGACACGTGACAGGGTCGGCGCGCTGCCGCCCCGCCCCTTCCGGCGCCCTGTCCCCGGTTGCCATGGGAACCTGGGGAGGCTGGAGCGAGACCGTTTTCCCGCGCCTATAGCTATAGGTCCTATATAGATCTATAGAAAGAGACACCCCCAGGGCTTAGGCAGACCCTATAGAATGATCCCATATAGCCCCCACAGAGCCCCCCACGCTCTTATAGGGTCATCCAGTCCCGGCTGGGCCTCTGTGGAGGCCCTTATAGCCCCTCCCCCAGTCTATACTGTCAGGCCCCTATAACTATCCTCGACTCCCATACGGCCCCCTCAGGGCCAGCGAGCTCGTAGCGCGCCCTGGTCATGCCCAAACCACGTCCGGCCGGAGGACGTCTTACTCCGGCGCCTGCAACCCGCATTGCAGGGGGGTTAAGGGAAGGCGGAGGAAGAGGGCTCGGGTTCGAAATAAGTGCTGTGTAGACGCGTCCAAATTCGAAATAAGCCATTTCGACGTAAGCGACGCAATTAGCCTAGCTCAAGTTGCCTAGCTTATTTCGGATTTAGCCCTGCTGTGTGGATGTACCCATATAGGCCCTATAGAGCCCTACACATCCCTTCCTGGTCCCTATACATCCCCTGGGCCTATCTGTTGCCCTATATGGTCCCCAGCAGCCACCTAGCCTCATATAGCTCTCATTGACATGCATAGCCCCATACCTTCATGCCATCTAGCTCTCACTGACATAAAGCCGATGAGGTCCTACATACTGTATACTTGAAACCTCTGTCCTGACACAGAAGTGGACATAGGATGAGCAATGAGGAATGTGAGATCCTATGACTATGACGTGACTGTTGCCAAATGACTTCACAAAGCTTTCTTTATGTGGCAGGCCTGCATTTTTATTTAATTCCTTTGAGAGGGGAGGGTTTCTTTGAAAGTCACGTTTTGGTCATACAGACCTAGCAAAGGTTCAGCTTTGTGAACGTCTGGGGAAAAGCGAGCTCTGGTAATTACTCTCACCAATTTACATGGACAAGAAACAAAGAAAATAGAAGGATGTACAGGACTGCCCTGACGTTTTATTGAGTACCGCATCACAGAAGAGTGCTTGTCAGGATGATGTTGCCATCCCATAAGTGCTGTGAAACGGCCTCCCATGACTTTGTGCAGGATGGCGTCTGAAAAGTAAGAAACCCCGTTGAAATGTAACACTGTAAATATCATCTCTCACAAGAGCCAGGGATTTTTAAAACTGTCTTAAAATCAGTGCAAAAATGGGAGAAACAGACTAAATATAACATATAAGTCTCAGAATTTGACCGACATTGAGTTCAATGTAAGATTTCCACATCAGGCAAATTGGTGTTCCTGAAGTGCAGCCATCTCTACATTGGAACTCAGCAGGGCTATGTCTACACTCACGGCTTCTTGCGCGAGTAATATGCAAATGAGGCTAAGCGTGGCATATCGCTGAGCCTCATTTGCATACCTAATGAGCCACCATTTTTTTCAGAAGAGGCTCTTGCGCAAGAAGGAGCGTCTACACTGCCCCTTCTTGCCCAAGAAAAACCTTCTTGCGCAATGATGTTCTTCCTGAAAATAATAGGTGTAACGGCATTGCGCAAGAGGGATTTTCTTGCGCAAGAAGGGGCAGTGTAGATGCTTCTTCTTGCGCAAGAGCCTCTTCTGAAAAAAATGGTGTCTCATTAGGTATGCAAATGAGGCTCAGCAATATTCCATGCTTAGCCTCATTTGCATATTACTCGCGCAAAAAGCCGCGAGTGTAGACATAGCCCAGCTGTTTAACAGTTCAAAATGATGTTCAACAACATACACCTCTTTTTTTTGTTTTGGTATGTTAATGTGGTATTACTTTGTGATGTTGGATAGCTGCCATGTTTTACTCAGGAAGCAACTCAGTAAGAGGAAAAATGCTCCCTATGTCTAATCTCACTGCAGCTTAACTTTATAAGTGATTCAGGAAGAGAACTGCTATAGAACAGTGGTTCCCAACCTGGGGTCCACGAGGATATTGCAGGGAGTCCGTGAAAAAAATAAAAGATATATAAAAATTATCATAGAAAATCAGTTTTAAATAAATTGCAAAGTTACAAACAATTATTATTTTTAAATTAAATATCTTCCCATAATGTTATTTATTGCTGTTTGAAAAATCTATGTTGTGGTGCCTTTGTGTGATGAAACGATCACAACAGTTAGAAGCATACAAACGTTAGCCATACATTCAACATGGATCTGTGGCTGAAATCAGGCTCGCTGAAGAGAAAGGAGACTGATGTGCAGAGTGAATCATCCACAAGTGGACTGTCTAAACAAACAGACCCAAGTAAATGAAAAGTGAGAAAATACTCCGCTGACTACTTCAAGTTTGGATTTACTTGGTCCGGCAGTCAGAATGAACTGTGACCAATGTGTGTCCTCTGCTACAAGGTGTTAGCAAATGAAAGCCTAAAACCAGTCAACTTTTGCCATTACCTAACACAGAAACATGGCAAATATGAGTCCAAGCCTCTTGATTTTTTTCAAAACAAGCTTACTGAGTTCAAGGAAAGTGAAAAGATTATGATGACGACGGTAACGGGTAGTGACAATACAAGGGCAATGGAGGCCTCCAACTGGGTAGCTCAACTAATAACCAAGACGGGAAAGCCACACGCAATCGGTGAGGAGCTAATATTACCAGCAGCCAAGACAATTGTAAATACTATGCTTGGAGAGAGGGCATGCAAACAAATAAATCTGATCCCACTGTCGAATAATACAGTTCAGCACAGAACTGAGGAAATGGCCGAGAATGTGAGGAAACAGTTGATGAATAGAGTACACCAGAGTCACTTCTATGCACAACAAATGGATGAAACAACTGACATCGCAAACCTGGAACAACTTCTTGTCTTTGTCAGGTATGAACACAGTGGGGAAGTAAACGAGGACTTACTTTTTTGCAAACCACTACCCACATGCACAACTGCAGAGGCAATTTTTGATATGCTGAACTGTTTTATTGTTGGTAATAATATTGACTGGAAACAATGTGTTGGAGTTGGCACAGATGGGGCTTGTGCCGTGACTGGTCAACACTGTGGAGTTATCACTCATATTAAATCAGTCGTTCCATATGCAACCAGCATTCACACAGAGGCCCTAGCTACGAAGAAAATCCCTGTTGACTTAAAGAGCATATTGTATGAATCGGTGACAGTTGTTATCTATATCCAGGACCGTCCTCTTAATTCAAGAGTGTTTGAAGTTTTATGTGATGAGATGGGCAGTGATCACCGTCAACTGCTGCTGCACACGGAGGTCCGCTAGCTCTCCAGAGGGAAAGTCCTGACGCATATTTTTGAGCTGCGAGGAGAAGTGAGAATTTTTCTGATGGACAAAAAGTTTGAGCTTGCCCATTGTTTTCATGATTTTAATTGGTTGGATAAATTGGCTTACTTAGCTGATGTTTTTGGCCATCTTAATGGTCTCAACCTGAGTCCGCAGGGAAAAGCAGAGACACATTTTCAAGTTTAAGACAAAATTGAAGCAATGATAAAGAAATTAGAACTGTGGTCCAGTCGAATCGATCAGTCGAACTGCAACTCATTTAGCAATCTTTCTGACTCTTTGATTACATCAGAAATGCAGCTCCTTAACGATGTTAAACATACAATCAGGGAGCATCTGCAAAGCCTGTAAACACAGCTGTAAAAGTACTTTCCAGTTCCAGAGACCAAAAACGACTGGATTAGAAATCACTTTGAATGCATTAACAGTGACACCCTTGCTAGTTTAACATCAAAAGAACAAGACAGCCTAATCAAAATGTCTTGTGACCACGCTTTCAAGCTGGTCTTCTCACAAAAGTTCCTTGCTGAGTACTGGCTTCATGTAGCCAGTATCCAGAGCTGTCTGAAATAACACAATTTATGATGCCCTTTGCCACAACATATATGTGCGAAGCAGCTTTCTTGGCTCTCATGGCAATAAAGACCAAATACCGGAGTATGCTTTGTGTTGAATCAGACCTACGACTGAGACTGTCATCCATCCAACCTGACATCCAGTCTTTGAAGTCAATGAAACAACACCAGGGATATCATTAGGTAAGCCAAAAGTTTATTATTTGTTGCTATGTAGGCCCTATCGTGGTAATTTGTTGTGATGAGATGTTCAATTGAATTGTTATGACTTCGGAAACAAGTATGCGTCATGTTTCCTTTTTCATTTAATGAAGTGTACATAGTGGCTAGAATTGCTTTGATGGGGATCTGTGAACGGTTTGGTGGGGTGATTGGGGGTCTGCACTAGTGAAAAAGTTGGGAACCACTGCTATAGAAATGCAGAGGAGCGGGGATTATCTCTGGTTGTTAAGCTTTTTAACACAAGAGGGAGTCCCAGGACAAAACACATCTTGGTTTCTGAACAGACAGCAGCATCCTCTGTATATCCAGATTCTGGCATCATGTCTGTTACTATTACCTCTGCTAATGACAAGAACACACTCTGTGTCCATTAGTTAAAAATATGACTGAACACTATACAGTAATGCACCGATGATGAATAATTAAAACATCCTGCTATTGAAATTTACTTGCAGTTCTGTGATTATGGAGCTGTGAACAGGAAAAAGGTAATGAGTAGACCTGTGGCACTTTAGCCCTGGTCTTCACTAGGACTGTATTTCAAAATAACGCCCCCCCCCCCGTTTGAATTTATAGGTGGTGAATTCACATTGCCAAGCCTGTTATTTTGAAATAATGGGCAGCAGAATTCGTACTCTGTACTCCTGCTTTTCACAAGGAGTAACACTAATTCTGAAATAGTAATAATGTTAAAAATAACGTTAGTGTGGACACTCCAGTGCCGCTAATTCGAACTGATTGGCTTTCAGGAAGCCTCCTGCAGCTCCCCAAAGTGCTTCTTGGGGCTCTGGGTCTGAGATAGGTCCACATTAATGGAGCCTGCCTCGGTTTAATTTCAATGCTTCCCTATAGTGGGGACACACAAGTTAAATCTTAAGTCAAATTAAGTAATTTTGAAATAATTTCCTAGTTGAGACAGCCACTACTCTGTTAATATCAGTTTCTTCTAAAACCTGTACATTTTGTGATTTCCCCATTATGCACTCATAGTCCCCAGACCTCCTTTCCCCATATGCTCTTCTTTCGGAATGACCGTTAAGTGATGTCAATGCAAAGAAAATGGTCGTTTGACTGATTGCCACATAAAAAGAACATTCTCCTATCACGCGGGGCTGCAGAGTCAAGAATAGATGCTCATTCTGTGCCGTAACCCTAAGGCCAGGCCATGCTCCCTCAGGACAGGGAAATGAAACTAGAAGCAATGCATTTAATGAATATGGATGCTTATTGCATTCATTGCTTCTGTACTGCCTCGGATACATGGCCTACTAATAACATTTGTTATGCTAACTTCATTTGCAGCTAATGATACCCACAAGGACTCCGTCAATCTCCCTTGGAAGTCAGTTGAAAAACTCCCATTGACTTCCATGGCAGCAGGATCAGGGCCTAAATTATTGATTCAAATCACATGTTCAGCTGCAGAGAACTATAAACTGGTCTCTATCTCCAGGGGCTAGGGAAAAAATCCCCCTATTAGGATATTACTGAAGTAGGGGAAAGTCACCAGGGCCTGCACCCCATCCACAGTCAGAGGAGACTTTGAGCCAGCAGGTAGAACAGAAGGTTTATGAGTCAACAGGGATACAGACTTGTCAGCACAGTAACCAGAAGCAGTCAGTACAATCTATTCTGGGGAGATGGAGCCCCAGAACTAAGTCGCTGACCCTTCACATGCTTCCCTTGCCTACCAAGACTGCCCCATTCCAAGCTCCTGGTCTCAGCCCCTGCGACCAGGCCCCTCCTCCAGCCTTTGCCCTGCTTCCCCAGGCAAAAGGTGAGCCCTTGTTGCACCCCCTCCTGGGCTCAGGTTACAGAGGGAATCACTACTGCATACAGTGTCACACCTGAAATTCCCATCACCATCTAGGTATTGGTGCCCAGGGAAACTGAGGCACACACACAAGGTTACTCTAAGATAGTAGAAATTACATGCAACATAGCAAGGTGAATGAACCCTTCCACTTCATCACATAGGGACAACACTGTACAATGAATCTAATGGACCATGAAGGGCTGGTGGGGAGGGAAGTCTTCATTAGTATCCAGGACTGGCCATCTTGAGAGCTGGGATTCCAAAGTAGAGGGTCTGATTCCCTAGTGTTGCCTCTTTTCCACTTTCATCTAGGAATATGCTTGGAATTTTCAGTGTACACCTCGTTTAATCTGCCAGCATAGCACTTGGCTAAAATAAACTGGGTGGGGTGGAAGGGTAGCCTGGATTCTCAGGGAAGTAGTGGAAAGTTTGCTCCAGAGATTGAACATGAAGCTGCTTGAGTGGAACATGCCTGCTCGATCTTTTGTTGTCAGTGTACACACCCAACCCAGGGCTGGAATTCAATTCCCAGAGCTAGAGAGGCCCAATCTCTCTCTGTATTTTGGCCTTAATCCACGAGGGGGATCTGCCTTTGGACTCCCCTGCTTGGCCCCAGCCTGAATCCACCCTTAAAGAGGAAGGGAAGGCAGAGGCTGTAGAATTATTTCAACCACACCCAAAGGCTGTTCTCTGGGCCAGATTAATCACAGAGGTAACACTGTTGATTTCACTGATTTACTCTAGGGATGGATTTGGCCCACTATGTCAAAGTCCATCTGGCTACATTTCCTGCAGGCTAGCAATTCTGATGAAGATCAGGGAGAGAACCCTGTTCTGCAGGGCTGACAAAAACCCCACCTACTCTGGAGCAAACCCAGTTCCCCTCCTCCTTCAGAGCTTGGCTGTCTGCATGGAGCCATGATTTCATCTCTGCAGCCCTTTGTGGTTTATTGGCAGGAATGAATCAGGAGCTTATTCACAGGAAAGAATTTTTTTTCTTTGCTTTTTAACCAGATGCAATCAGTTGCCAGGTTACAGCTGTTCAGCAAACTATACTGAGTAGTTTATTAGACAGTAACAGCCGTTTCTGATGACTATGTTAGCAACACACAAAACTCTGCCAGTAGCCCACCCAATAGATCTGTGAAAGCTCCAGTTTGTATTCCAATTTTTTTCTCTCTCTCTCATCTTGTTGTTCCCATTATATACAACAGACGCACAATCTTATAGCCCAGAGGGACGTATTTCAGTGAGTAGACCAAATTTTACATGCATAATACACCCATTTCAAGGAGTACCTCAGCTGCAGAGCTGACAATTTCCCCTCCAAGGTCCTGGCCTCCCTTACAATTTTCCTTTTGTTGTCAAATGTTGCCAAACAAAACAATAATTCACATCCAGTATAAAATAAATTCTTTCAAAGATCTGTATTTTATTCAGATACATTTCAGATTTATTTTGCTGTCTATTTGGAATTCCTTAGCGCATGCTCAGGCAAAACAAACTCACAGGGCTTAGGGTTTCTCAGCTGCATCCTGGTCTGTGGTAACAGAGCTGAGAGTTGAACCTGAACCTGGTGGTTCCTCATCCTGCAATTCAGCCACATGGGGTGCAATTGGCTGGAGAAAGTGAATCTTGCCAGGAAGGTACATGCTGTTTTATGTAGGAGCAGCACACTCTAGACCGCAAAAACAAATCCCTTTCCCCTTTGGTTAGTGAATATGTCACTTACATCTTGACTTTCAAAAGCCTTCATGATTGGGACCAGATTTTCCAGTGAGCTCTGCTCTCATGTAGGCACCTAAATGGCAACATTTGCAAAAGTGCCCAGAATTCGGCAGACCCTTGTGTCCCAACAGAGTGACAGCTGGTTTAATGTCATTGCCACTTATCACATAGATCAGTCATCTCATCCTATTCTTGGGCTCTCCTCACAAGTAGTGGTTATATCGACCTGTTGTGTCTCATCTTTTTCTTGGAGTGCAATCTTTTTTGGGCAGGGACCACAACTTTTTATGATGTGTTTGTATAGCATCTTGCACAAGTGAGGCCAGAGTACTAATCACCACCATGACTCAGATAATAAAAAATAATAATGTTCAAGGGCTAAAAACACACCCAAAAAGTGGTGATTAAAATAGGGGAACAGTGAACCAGGACTTCTTGGTTCTCTTTCTAGCTTTGCCATTGACTTCCTGTGTAATCTCCAATATATTTGAAATTTACATAAGTGCACTGTGAGCAGCTGCCTGTCTGAAAAGAGACCTTTATTTTGTGCATCATTAGCGAGTTTCAATATCTATGTTAATATCTGAACATCTGTGTTTGCCTCTGAACCCGATAAGAAATGTCACCCTGGTAAAAAGTGAGGGAACTATTTCCTGCATTATCTTCCCAACAGCTTCTACTTTGTACAAGATATTGTCAGAAGCCACACACATTTTATTTGCTATCACTCTGGTGCCTGGCTGGGTCAGTGCTTATGGGGGAGTCACTTCCTCCATGTGGAGTGATTCACAATTCGAAACGAGATCCTAACAACGAAACAATGCCAGAAATCTTCCACCGCACCAAGCTAAGGACTCTGGATTTTCAACCCTGTTGCCACAGCAACGCTAAGTATTTTGGCAAAACATTTGGAACGGAGGTGGTAGGGGTGAATCACACCAGCAAGGGGAGTTTGTGGTGAGTGGGTGTGGGTAAGGTTTATTGTTGGCCACTGTTTTCAGTTACACAGAGAAGAGCTTATTCTGTACCAGCTCAATCAGGCAGCAGGGAATATTTTGAAAGGCTCCTGGCTTGGATTCAAGCAGGCACAGAACAATGAGTGAGGAGAAATATAGACAGGTTGTTTACTATATAAATCCTTGTTGTGTGGAGCCCAGAAGGATGGGGAGGAGCAAAGGAATTTGGATCATAAAAGAATCAACTCTGCTTTTTTGGACCAAAACTCCCCTCTCTAATTTTATCTTCAAAATTCAGTTTCAAAAAATGGAAACCCTTTTTAGTGTAAGAACATAATATAAGAACGTAAGAATGGCCATACTGGGTCAAACCAAAGGTCCATCTAATCCAGTAGCCTGTCTACTGACAATGGCCAGCACCAGGTGCCCCAGAGGGGGTGGACCAAAGACAATGATGAAGCGATTTGTCTCCTGTCATCCTTCTCCAGCTTCTGACAAACAGAGGCCACAGACACCATTTCTGTCCCCTGGAGCCTTTTATGGACCTAACCTCCATGAATTTATCTAGCTTCTCTTTAAACTCTGTTAGGGTATGGCTACACTAGCCACCCGGGTTCGAACTAGGGTGGCTAAGGTAGTCATTCGAACTTGCAAATGAAGCCCGGAATATTTAAATCCCGGGCTTCATTTGCATG